AACGTCATGGCTCCTGCTCCTTGGAAGGGGCTTTTGGGACACACAAGTGAATAGATACAGATTGACAGGATTCCCCATCTTGTCCTACATGTTCTGGGTTTTCGTCTTTCCCCCCACTTCCAATCTTTTTCCATACTTTCTGGGGAATCGACGATTTATTGTGTCCGTGTGTGCTTTTGTCCCCTCCTGCTCCTTTCGGCGGCGGACAAACCTCCCTTTAGTAAACCTCCCCTTAGTGAAAAAGGCCTGGGACCGAAACCGACGGACCTGGACCCGCAAAAATGACGGCCGCGACGCCCTCTCGCGAACCGAAAACGGCCAATTCCTTAATCGACGTGTCAGGGTAGGAGGTCGGTCCACCTCCGATCCCAGGAGGGGGGTGGGGGCCAGGGGTGTGCGGATATCGTGGCCTGGGCCACGACATCTCCGAAAAGTCATGGCTCCTGCTCCTCTGAAGGGGCTTTTGGGACACGCACAAATGAACAGATCCAAATTAACAGGATTCCCCCTCTGTTCCTATATTTTCTGGGTGTTCGTCCTTCCCCCCACTTCCAATATTTGTCCATATTTTCTGGGGGATTGACGATTTATTGTGTCTGTGTGTGTGCTTTTGCTCCCCTCCTGCTCCTTGAGAGAAACAGAGGGCTGCCCAAGCATAAGCCGTCGGAAGTCGGCACGCACTCCTTGGATCGGCGCTGGGCCTCCTTCCCCGGCGCGTGGAGCGCGCCAGGGCCGGCGCCGCTGGCGCCGTCGGGGAGGCCGAGCGAGCGCCGATCCAAGACGTCCGCGAGCAGCTCCCAAAGTTTGGGCTCGTACAGTCGGGGCCTTGACCCCTAAATAAGGAACGAGGCCCCCTTTTCCCCTGAGTTGACCTTCGATTTCCTGCCGAAAACATAAGAAAAGCCTGAGGCAAGCTGCGAAACACGTAAGGAACGCGGAGCCCCTCCCCAACGAAAAGGGTTCCTTCTTCAGGGCCCCGACTGTACACTGTTTCCCATCCATGCTGTGGTGCTAGGTCCTCGCTTTGGAAAGACAGCGCCTCGCGTCCCACCTCACCTTCCCCTCCCTCGTCTCTCCTCCCGCCTCCCATCATCATCATCATCATCATCATCATCATCATCATCATCATCAGCAGCAGCAGCAGCAGCATCATCATCATCTTCATCATCATCATGATCATCATCATCAGCATCAGCATCATCCTCATCACCACCATCATCAGCATAATCATCATCATCAGCATCAGCATCATCATCAGCATCATCATCCTTATCCTCATCAGCATCAGCATCATCATCATCATCACCATCATCATTATCATCGTCATCATCATCATCAGCAGCATCATCATCATCATCATCGTCATCGTCATCGTCATCATCATCGTCGTCATCATCAGCATCATGATCATCAGCGTCATCATCATCATTACCACCACTACCATCTCCATCTACACCATCACCATCATCAGCATCATCATCCGCATAAGCATCATCACCAGCATCCTCATCCTCATTAGCATCATCAGCATCACCATAGTAACACTCATCATCGGCGTCATCATCATCAGCATCATCATCATCACCGCCACCATAATCATCATCAGCAGCATCACCATCATCCCCATCCCCATCCCCATCCTCCTCCTCATCATCCTCATCCTCATCCTCCTCCTCATCATCGTCATCGTCGTCGTCATCGTCGACGTCATCCTCATCCTCGCCCTCACCGTCAACATCCTTATGACCAACAACAACGAACATCAACATCAACATCAACATCAACATCAACATCAACATCGCTAGTCACGTTTAGGCACACCCCACACACGCTTCGTGGCCTCATAAGAACTCCACGGACGGCCCCCATGGCACAATCCGCATGGCGTATCCGCACCCGAGTCGGCACACCCCTGACACGTTTTGTGGCCCCATAGGAGGCTCCACCGAAGGCTACAGCGACACAGTCCGCATTGCGTACCAGCGCCCGCTTCGGAGCACCCCTCACATGTTTCGTGACTCTTCTCGGGAGCTCCACCGAAGGCCCCAATGGCACAGTCCGCTTGGCGTACCCGCATCTGATTCGGCACACCCCTCACACGTTTTGTGGCCCCATGGGGAGCTCCACCGCAGGCCCCAGCGACACAGTCCGCATGGCATACCAGCGCCCGATTCGGAGCACCCATCCACACGTTTCGTGGCCCCCCCGCGGGAGCTCCATCGACGGCCCTATTGGCACAGCCCGCTTGGCGTACCTTCATCTGATTCGGCACACCTCTCAAACGTTTCCTGGCCCCCTGGGGAGCTCCACCACAAGCCTCAGCGGCACTGTCCGCACAGTGTGCTCGCGCCCGATTTGGCACCCATAAGAAGCCCCACCGAAAGCTACAGCGGCACAGTCCGCATGGCGTACCCGCGCCCGATTCGGCACACGCCTCACACGCTTCGTAGCTCCCTGGGGAGCTCCACCGAAGGCTCCAATGACACAATCTGCATGGCGCACCCGCACCCGATCTGGTTCACCCCTCACACGTGTCGTGGACCATATGGGGGCTGCACAACATGTCCCAGCGGCAAAATCCGCACGGCGTGCCCACGCCCGATTCGGCACACCCCTCACCCGCTACGTGGCCCCTACAGGGAGCTCCACCGAAGGCCTCAGTGGCACAGTCCGCATGTCATACCCGCACCCGATTCGGTACACCCCTCACGCGCTTCGTGGCCACATAGAGGGCTCCACCAACGGCGATAGTTACACACGACGGCAGAATTCGCAATTGCATATGGTTGGGCCTTTCGCCTTGATAATTTGATGTTCTCCTAGGAACTATCAGAGATACGATACCTCCTGCTTCTCCTGGGGAAACCGAAAGATCCGCCACTGTGACGCTGGTCACAGAGTGAGCGCGTCCTCAAATCCTTTGTTTAATCCTCTGAACCTCCTCCCTCCTGAGGAGTCTATGGGCCTGCACCTTTTTCTCTCAAATCTCCCGGGGCTTCCCGCATTTTCGAGTGCAAGAGGGCCCCAAGACGGGCCGAGAGAGCCTCGAGAGGCCGCACAAGACGGTCCAGGAGGTCCCCGAGTCGCTGGACGATCGGTCCAAAAGGCCTCCAGGAGGCATCCAAAGAGGGCCCTAAGAAGCCAAACTCATTGGTTTCCCTTCTCTCGGTGTTTGAAAGAGTTTGGCATTCTCGCCATGACAACTTCCCGAAGCTCGCAAACGGCCCTCGATGCTCCAAAGACCGCCCCAAGACGGCCCAAGAGGCAAGACGGCCCAAGAGGGCCCCAAGACGGCCCCCAAAAAGGCCCAAGAGAGGGAACACGAGCCGAAGAATCTAGCTTCCTACCCAGAGAGGCCCCCAGAAGGCCCCAAGAGGCGCCCAGAAGGCCCCGAAGAGAGCTCTCAGAGGCCCAAAGAGGCTCCCAAGAGGCCAAAAAAAGGCCCCAAGCGACACAAAAGCGCTCCCCGAGAGGCCTGCCTCCAAGAGGCCTCCCACGAGATCCCAACGAACATCCAATGGGCTTCATGCCCACAGCACAGGCACGGGGGCGGGATGGGCCGAAGGCCATTCGATGCCGATGCCGCTGCTCCCCGACCTCTTCCAGGGTGCCTCCCGACCCGAATCTCGAGGCGAATCACGCCATTGCGACGAGGGCCCCCCGTACGGAGAAAACGGGGCAGGACGTCAGCGGTATCGGTACCGTCGGGGCGTTGACCTAAGGAACCCTAAAAAAGGAACGATGCCCCTTGTTTCCATGAGTTAACCTTTGATTTCCTGCCGAAAACACCAAGGAAGCCTGAGGCAAGCTGTGAAACGCTTAAGGAACGCGGAGCCCCTCCCCAACGAAAAGGGTTCCTTCTTCAGGGCCCCGACCGTACGGCGAAAACGGGGCAGGACCTCAGCGGTATCGGTACCTCTTCCATCCTCGGACCTTCCCTCCTCCTCCTCCGCCTCCGCCTCCTCCTCCTCCTCCTCCTCCTCCTCCTCCTCCTCCTCCTCCTCCCACCGTCGGCGTCGCGGCGGCACCCGACGCCGCAAAGGCCGCCGCACAGGCGCCGCGCGCCGCCAAGGCGCCGCTCGGCGCCGCCCTTCACACCGCTTGCGGCGCCGCCGCCGCCGTGCGCTGCCGCCGCCGTCGCCCCTCGTAGGGAGCAGACAAACTGGGAACAAAGCGCCGCTCGCCGCAAAGGCGCCGCTCGCCGCTGCCCTTCGCCGCCCTGCGGCGCCGCCGCCGCCGCCGTTCGCTGCCGCCACCGTCGCCCCTCTGAGGCCGATGTGGCATCACAGCAGCAATTCGGCCCCTGACTTTCATCCTGGGCTCGGTGCAGTGAAGTGATGAGTTTCGGGGCCCTCGCGTGGGACAAAAACATCACTTCGCTGATCTGGGGCCCCCGGGGCCTCCGTGGGCCCTGGGGCGCAAAATTAGTGAAGTGATGGTTTTCGGGCCTCGGATCTTAGGGAGCAGACAAACTGGGAACAAGGAGAGGCGACACCAACACCAGCAGGGCGAGGAGGTGCGAGAAGGCAAGGGGAGTCTCCCTAGTGGTATGGTCCCCCCCTCTCGCTCGAGACATCCCCGGCATCCAGCTCGGGGAGGCATCGTGGACCTCCTCGCTGGAGGTGGGGCCCCTGGTGGTGTTGGTGTCGCTTCTCCTCCCTCCGACAAACCAACACCCCAATACTAAGCACCCCGACGAGCGAAGCCGGTCAGCAAGCGCACCCAAGGAAGGGATCGAACAGAGCAGGTCTGCTCCGCAAACGCCCGAGGCCGTTTGGCACACGCCACTTCTTCTTCTTCTTCGGCCGTCCCCACCTCTCGATAAAACAGGACGATGTTTGGCAACGTGGCAACATGGCCCCGGAGAGTTCGGCTAACTCCGGTCTGGCCTCGTCGCTCCAGCGCTCTGGGCCAAGCTGCCCGCAACGAAGCGTGTGCCAGCCCATGCCGCTACGACGAGTTCTGCGCCCTCGGTCGTCGGGCTTCTGCCGCCCCGAGGCCTCGAGGTTCTCCAGTGCCTCCACCTCGCTGCCCTGCGTGCGGTCCTGGCCGCCGCGGGCGCGCCCACGGAGACCGGGCGGGCGCTCGCGCGGAGGGCGGGCGCCGAAGAGGCCCGTGCCCTTTGCCCGGCCCGCGGGCGGCGGGCGGCGCGCTCGGAGGGCGAGGAGGCTGTGCGGAGTGCTCCCCGGGTGCAGCCACAGCTCGCGAGGGTTCTCGCTGCGCTGCGCGGGAGGGCCTGGTAAAACAGGGCTAGGATCGGGAGTTAAATCGCTCCAGAGCGTTCCGGAGCGCTCTCAGAGCGTTCCGGAACGCTCTGGAGCGGCCGCGGCGCCCAACACATCCTCCAAACCCGCCGATTCTCAGAGATTTCGAGTTATCCCGATCCGATTTTGTCCCGCTCTTCGCGTCGTTTTACCTGGGGTCAGGGGGGCGGAAGCACCGAGGTGCCACAGCCCCGCCCGGACCTCGTGCACAGGCACCCGCGTGGCTGTTCGGGGCCCTCTTGGGGCGCTCCGGGGCGATCTCAGGGTCGCCTTGGGCCCCATCTCTGGCCCCTCTTGTGGCTCGATCAGGCCATCTTGAAGCCATCTGGGTGCATCGAGAGCCTCTGGAAGAGATACAACAACAAACAACTGTTTTAGGATGCAATTTCTGGCACATGTTTGTAAGAGCGATCGGGGACTACTAAATTAAGTCCGACTGCGGGGCCATGGAGCCGTCTACCCCAAATTGGATCTGGAACTCGGCCTGATTGGCCGGCATTGCGCTGGCTTGAATTGGATTCAGCGGGGTTAAGCGGCGTGTAGCATGATGGCGCGTGTTTTCGGCCACGGATATACCAGCGCCAGATCGAGACCTCTCTTCTTTCAATAGAACGACCCCGACCTGTCGGGTGGGAGATAGTCCTGTTTTCTTATATGTCACTGAAACTGTTATGTGGGGTAACTGGTGATTACAGAGCCGCCAAATTATATAGTACGAAGAATACGTCTTTGCTGGAGGGGGATTATCATGCCAGCTCCTTGCCAGATCTCGGCAGCGTACCGAGGGCACTCGTTCGTGGCTCACCAAAGGCGCCGTCACTAAAGTAAAGATCGTCCTATCAATGAATCGCACCCAAGGCATTTTAAGGCTGCACCGTGGCCAAATATTACCTTAGGGTGATAAAACAAACTCGCAATATTCGAATAACAACAACAACAACCTGAAGCGAGCGAGCGAGCGTGCACCGACGGCGCGAAAGAGAAAACGGCGGCGAGTCTTGTCATGGCTTCCGTGAAGGCCGCCGACATGCCCAAGGTATCCTGCCTTTGCAGAAACGGCGCGCCTTCGGCGGCCCCTGGGCTGCCACCCAGAGGCCCCCAAGAGGGGCCGTCGGTGTCTGCAGATGCTCCCAAGATGCTCCCAAGAGACCCCTCAAGAGACCCCACGAGGTTCTCTCAGAGACCTCCAGGGGCCGTCAAACGGGCACTGGATCGAAGACAACAAAAGAACAGCGCTGGCAACAACGATGCAGTCTGCTACATTGACGGACGATGGTGCGCAAATGTTGGGGCCGTGTTGAAAGTCACCCAGGGCAATGTTGGGTCTCCAGGGCCGTCTCAGACCTGTGTCCCAAGGGCTACCCTGCCGAGGCGCTTTCGGAAACCACTGGAGCCTACTGTGGAACAATGATGTGCTGAGAAGTGGGGAATCTCAAAAGGCACACGGAAACATATTGATTTTGACGACTTTCGTCTCTCGAAGGCCCTCCGCGAATAGCATGGGGGCCTGCGCACTGACATGCGATGTGAGGCTTAGGAGTTCGGAGCGTCAGCCTGTGGGCCCCGAGGCCGCAGAAACTTGAGATCGCACTCGTGCGCGCAGCGATCTGAGCAGCCGCGACAGCTAGCAAGTTGAAGGCGGCCGGGGGTCTGAGCTGGATCTCAGGATGGTGCTACATGAGGGACGCATGACAAGGAACGAAGGGCCTGTTCTGGCCACTGTGGGCCTAGGCAACAAATCGGCGGTGGTCGAACCTCCCTTTAATAAACCTCCCTTTAGTGAAAACGGCCTAGGACCGCGGCCTAGGACCAGAACCGACGGACCTAGACCGGCACAAATGACGGCCGCGACGCCCTGTCGCGAACCGAAAACGGCCAATTCGCTAATCGACGTGTCAGGGTAGGAGGTCTGTCCACCCCCGAACAAACAGGCTCCACGACGTAAAAGTGACAGAAAACACGAGCCCCTCCTAAGCCCAAAGCGGTCCATATCTCAACGTCTTGACTACAAGCCCAGACTCAGGCCAGGCATGTCCTCCTACCGGCGCGCTTTGGGCGGAAATTGAAACATAGTCCACAACTATCCCAAACATAGCCGAAACTGATCGACGCATCGTCCCCCAGGCTACGTTTTTTTGCTATGTTTGCATATCCCTCCTGTACCCATCGGTCGGAAGTAGGAGGGCGGATAGAGTAGATTGGGTTCGGGCCCGCCCAGAGAGTAACAAGACGCAGCACAAGCACATCGGCCCTTGAAGTAGGAAGGCGCTTGAGGTAGATTGGGGTCTGGGCATCCAAAAATACATACTTTCAACGACAGATGGGTACTCCAGATTTCGTAATAAAAGGGAGGAGGTCTCATTTCGGGGGGGGTCTCTTCCAGGCTATCTTGGAGGGCCTGGGGGAGAGCATGCTACGCATGGAATGAATTGAATAGAAGATGAGGTGTTGGATCCGTGAGTGGATCAGCCTAGACAGTATGATGGTCAGAGGCTTTGGTGCCTCCATTGATTGTGGGTCGGCTATGATGCCAGCCAATGCCCACCCCGTCCCGTCTCCAGGGACTCCGCATCCCCCTTTGATGGCAAGATGGGGAGACGGTCCGCCACCCCCGGCACTGCACGTACTGTGCCGGGTTCGTGGGGATTTTGTTGAATTCTATGAGTGTCCCCTCCCTCCCCTCCCCGCCCCTCTACCTCCGCGCCTGGTCCTGTGTGTGGGAAGCCGTATACACCGTTTTGACTCCGAGTCCCGGTGACGATCACAACCTGCTGAGCTTGCACGAGTTTGCACGAGTTAAGACCAAAGGGTTACCAGGTAAGGTCTGCAGGCGGGAAGTCTGGACCAAACGGTTACCAACTAGATTGTAGTTGCCTGGATAGAGTAGTCCCTGTAGGTGTCGGCGCACGCGGGCTTGGAAGTCGACCGTCTTGCCAACGTAGCAATGCTTATGCCAGGGACTCCATATTATGTACACGACAAATTCAGCATGCAGGAGGTCCGGCGACGGTGGCCATGTAGAGGATGGGAGTGAGGATGCAAGTGTGCGGAGCTTGCTGTAGAAGGCGGTGGTGGAGGACATCAGGAAGGGTGCGGTGAGAGCAATGCCCATGCGAATGAATGCAAAAATGCATGGCCATACGAAGACATTCTCGGCGTACACGCTGTGGAAGGCATGGCGGACCAATGCCAGAGAGGTGATGTTGCAAAATCGGATCTCAGGGGTTCTGGAAATGCATGGCATCCCGTCGTCGTGAAGATCCCAAACACCACCGCTTGCGCGGTGCGCTCCTGCGCGTGTGCGGGAAGATAGTCAAATCTCTGTCGAGCGCGTCTTGGCCATGATGGCCGCCAGGAGCTGCGACACGTCCCCAAATCGCTTCTCGTCGAAGCGAACGCCGAGCTCGGACGCCTTGTCCTTGAAGACCGCGAGGACCTTCGGGTCTGGCTTCTTCGACCGGCCCTTGGGCGCCACGATGGCATCGAGCGCCTTGCGGTAGACTGCGAAGCGTTGCCGATCCGACGCTGGGGAGTCCTCCGTCGGCACGGCCTCGTCCATGGCCCAGTCGATAGTCTTCGTGTTCCTGGCCTGGTGCATGCGGTCAGGCTTGAACTTTCTGATGTCGTCGAGCGTGTACTGGGTGACCGTCTTCTGGGATGCCCGACCCCTTCCTGAGAGTGCCCGGAGCGTGTGAGCCGACGCAGGCTGCGCCTCAGGGATCGCCTCCGTAGCCTCGACATGCGCCTGGCCCTGGTCTGCAAGAAGGGCGGCGACCGTGTGGGTCATGTTGGACAGGCATTCGCCTGACGTGGACTGCTCGGCTCGTTTGTACGGGCTCTGGGTCGAGATCCAAGCTAGGAAAACCGAGAAGGAGAAGGTGTCCGAGTCGAGGGGCACGAACGGCACAATCTTTTGCAGGTTGCGCCTGGCTTGCGCCCGCATGATGTAGGGGCAATACTCTTCGGCGTTCTGGGAGATCTCCCTCCGGGTCTTGGCGGTGCACAAGGAGATGCACCTGCGCATCATCTCGGCGTTGCATTTCTTGCGCTCATTGATGAAGTCCTCCGTGCCGAACGGGATGTCGGGCTTGTAGTCGGGGGGGAGGGCGTAAGCCGTCTCCAGAAGCTTAGATGCAACGGCGTCCCCCGAGAAGAGTAGCTCGCGGACCTCAATGTCGGACAGCTTTTGGATGGCACTCTTGGCGGCCTGCACCCCGCTCTCCGGCGCACCGACGTGGTTGGGTGGGTAAGCCTGGCCTTGCCCGTGGTCCCTGGTGGCTGGGAGGTCGCGGGGGCCACGGGGGTCCTGTTCCCGGCGCGGAGCCCGATCGAAGTACTGGGCACCGTGGTGAGGATCATACTGCCTGGCGGGATAGGCCAGCGGCAGGTGGGGCGACCGCGCCGCCGGCGATGCCTTCGGTGTCAGGCCGTGCGCCATCCTGGGGGCAGCCCCGATCGGCGAGGCAGGCGGTGGCTTCCTTGGGAGTCCGGGGCTTTGCGCAGGGCAGTCCCTGGCGAGGTGTCCGCGGATGCCACAGTTAGGGCAGAGCAGGCGGTCTGGTGAGAGGGGCCGGGTGGGGGCCTCATGGTGGCCACCCGTGGTCCGCGGCATGAGCCTGTGATGGTCACGTGCCCTGGACCTGGACCTAGACCTAGACCTATGATGGTCGCGGCCCATCCCCGCCGCGGGCCTGTGATGGTCCCGTGCGATGGGTTTGGACCTGGACCTATGATGGTCACGGCCCGACCTTGCCCTATGATGGGAAGGTTGGTCGCGGTAG